ACCTGCAGTTGATCTGACTTTACAAGTTAAACTGGACCTGCAGTTGAACTGGTTCTACAGTTAAACTGGACCTGCAGTTGAACTGGTTCTACAGTTAAACTGGACCTGCAGTTAAACCAGTTGTATACTTGAACTGGGTCTACGGTAAACTGGTTCAACAGTTAAACTGGTTCAACAGTTAAACTGGACCTGCAGTTGAACTGGTTCTACAGTTAAACTGGACCTGCAGTTGATCTGACTTTACAAGTTAAATTGGACCTGCAGTTGAACTGGTTCTACAGTTAAACTGGACCTGCAGTTATTTTTTTTTTCTATAGTTAAAATGGATCTGCATTTAAAATGTTCCTGCTCTTGAACTGGTTTTACAGTTAAAATGGGCCTGCAGTTAAACCAGTTGGAGACTTGAACTGGGTCTATTGTAAACTGGACATGCAGTAAAACTGGTTCTACAATTAAACTGGACCCATACTTAAACCAGTTAAATACTTAAACTGGATCTACAGTGAATCTGGCTTCAGGGGTAATTTTATACAGTTAAACCAGTCCTGCTGTAAACTGGACCTTGAGCTGAACTGGTTCTACAGTTGAACAAGTTCCTGAGACATGTCCTTAGTCTTTTCCCTGGACCCTGAGACTCTTCATGTCTCTGGATCAGAACCTCTGTACGACGACATAATGTCAGTGCTAAAAATGGTGAGGACAAACAAAATTGTCCCAAACACCAAAACATTCCAACATCCTGCTTGTTGGTTTAAAGAGGTGGAGTTTATTTTCTGCTCAGGTTGTCTCACCACCTGTCCACACCTGGACAACAGAAAACAGACGAGTCCGCTGGTAATAGATACAGTTTTAGTTTAGTTGAACTTGTTCTAAAACCAGCACTTGTTTGTTGATCCAGATCCAATTTATGTCTGCAATAACAAAAATTACAAACTCCAAATTACAAATCAGGTTAAAACAATTCTAAAGCCAGGTTTAGAAAAAACACGTTTAAATCTATCTTAATTCCAGTTATAGTTTAACTCCAAATAAAATAAAATAAAAAATCAGATTAAACATATTTGTAAAACAGTTTGAAATCAAGTCCAGTCCAGCCTAAAACCTGACAAAAAACTAAATAAAACCTGCTTAAACAAACAGAAGATCCCACAAAAACCATTTAAACCCAGACTAAAATCTGGCTCTATGAAAGTCCAATTAAGACAAATGTGAAAGCCTAGAAGCTAGGTGCAACATTCAAGTTCAAAACAATGTCCAATCCAGGAGCAATCTAGTTTAAAGCCAGGGTCGAACAAGGTTTATTCTAGTCTTTAACTTGTTTACAACTGTGTTAAGATGTGTTTCAAACCTTACTAAAATGCCTAAACCAATCAAAGTCCAAACCAACTTGAAACCAAATCTGTCTAAAGCCTTGTTCACAGAACAGGTATTAAAACTACATTCCAAACACAAAGCAAGTTGAAACCACCATGCTCAAACTAGTCAGGTCCAATCTGGTACAAAAACTAGATTAAATCAATTTTCAAACCAAATTAAAACTTAAGTTTAAAACCAGAATAAATCCATTCTGAAAACAGTTTCAAAACATGTTTCAAACCAGATTAAAGCAAACCAAGCTTTTGTAAAGTTTTGAAAAATTTAAATGTTCAATGCATAATCTTAAAATAAGGCTAACTAAGAAACTGCATATTTGATTGTCCTACAGTGACAATAAAAATATTCAGATTCTGATAATAAGCGCACATGTATAATATATAATAAAGGGTAAATTAAAAAATGACAAAGAAATAATCTTGTTTTGTTGTTTTTACTTTAGTTTTTTTTTCTTTTCAGAGATTTAATTTAAGTTGTGGTTTGATTTGTGGCTTTAATTTAATATTTACTTTTTTAATTTGGGGGTGAAAGTCTGACCGGAAGTGATACATTTGTTCGTGCCTCGGGATTTTTACTTTGAAATTTACCGGAAGCTGGTACGTTGTCATCCAGGGTAACTTATCTTCTCCTCCACTCCGAGCCGAGTTTTCCCTCCCAGTCCCAGAACTCAGTCTGACTCGATCCGCGCTGGACTTTACTGATTGATTTACTGGGACCTGCGGAGATCTCGGAAAAGAACCACACTTAGACCAGGACCAGGATCGTCACTGGACCGGATCAGAGGTAAAACCTTTACAATCTGTGTTTTTGATTAAACAGAGGGAAACTCGGTCTTAGAAGTTTTTAGTTCCACCGGGCGCATGCAGGTGAGCTGAGA